GCTACAAGAGTAAAAAAAATTAACAGATTCCCACTCCTATAATCTATTAGGAAAAGCATACAAATGCATATCAGAAACGTGTGGCTCAGACAAAATGTCTCTTAGAGGACTCACCTTTGACAAGCAACAGTCATCTTGAGGGGGAAGATGAACGGAGTCTTGCAGACTGATTATACCATCTTGGCAAAGCACTCATATCAGACACACAAATAAAGAACTGCAGTACTTACTGAGGAATGGAAAACCCATTCTACCCAAACTCCAAGACCACTAACAACTGGAACTAAAACCAGCACAGCATGCACAGCAGCAGATGTGGGAAAGACTCCATATTCTGCCATTGGCAACAGGAAATAAGCAGATCCACTGTATTCTTTTTCCTCTTACATATTGTCTACAGTGGAGCTACAACTGTGTCAAATGGATGTTTTTAACCTATCCTTGCATAGAACAGCAGGAAAACCTGTGGGGAATCCCAGAAGACTACCAATATTTTGCTTAAACACAACCTTCCCACACCCCAGATTCCTTCTGGATGCCCATCATCTAGCAAAACTGGCTTCACCACAGACTGCAGTCATACAGTTCTCCAAGGCTTGGCATGTTAGCTCCCAGTGTTATCTTAAAATAATCCTATTTATGTCTTCAGTAAGTTTGTTTAAAACTCATGTGTTTGTAAATGAATTGCCTTCCAGCCCACCGTGGATATTAAACTGAAAAGAAAACATGAAGTTTCTGAAACTGCCAGTAAGGTACCATTCCTCTGCTGCCTTTCGTCCTTCATTTCACAAGATCTCAGAGCACTTTACAGATGTAAACACAGAGCTGCTCTCCCAGCAGTGAGGCAGACAGTCCTGGGGTGGAATGCAGCTGCTCTAGGACATGACTGCACCACTGCAGCTCCCCGTGGTGCTGGGCTCTCCCTTTTGCTCTGCCACCCCGTGGCTGTTCCACTGCAGAGTCCAACAGGCGAGGAAAGTGCCTACTGACCAGAAAGAGACATCCGGTACATGCCAAGAACTCTGCTGGAGCAGATGGCTTTTTTTCCATAATCAGGAACCAATCAGCAACCAATTAACACATGATTTGAGGTAAAGAGCTGTTTTCAACTGAGACAAAAACACACCCAGAAAGGACACTGGTACCTCAGGATTTGGTCAAAGATTGGAGCCGGTGACTCTGCCTGAGTCATTAAATGCACTGTAGTTTGTGATAGAAGCTGTTTGTTGAGAGCTGGGTTACAAGCCTGATTCAAACTCTGCAGTCTCAGCTCCAGTGCAGTACCCCCTTTTTAGGTGGGGAGACTCAGCTTGGATTCCAAGCAAAGGATGCCACCTACTGAATCCTTGCTACGATGAGCACAGCTTTGACCCTCATGGCTCCAAGACCTCTGGCACGATCACAAGCCAGACTGCAGTCCCAAAATAAATTCCAAGGAAAAGTAGAAAACAGGCTTGTAAAAACAAAGCTTTTCTCCCTGCTACTCTCCCCACAACCCGAAGATGTATTACTCACCGAACATCTGCACAGCCGTAATAATTTCTAGTTTTGCAACACTGACAACCTTAGCAGTATTAAAAAAACTCCTTACATCTTTATTCCATTTTGGATTCATTATAATACAGTCTGACAATATATGCTAGCACAGTACATTCTGCAACATTTAACCCGTGTTCCCAGTTGCCGTTCTTAACTTCACGGCTTAATGACACAGAGTCAGTAGATCACAATATGACCCTGTTAATATTTTTTTAATGCCATTTTTACAAATTACAGCATAATGCACTGATTACGAGGATGAAAGGAAAGTCTCTACGTCTGTCTGGAAACCAAATAAAAGAATGTTTGAACATCTGTTCATCCTACAAATGTCTTTAAAAGCTTTGATTTTCCCATAATCATTTTGTTCCACCATTTCACCCTTTTTTGAATGTGTATCCAACAGCCTCAGGACAGCAGCCAGAGATCTGCAGTAATAGCACATTATAATCAAAGTTCTTGTGCACACTTAAGTTCTCCTTTTAGAATTCCATATTGGGAAAAACACAAAACCAAACCCTAGTCTCCAACAGATCCCTCTCCAGCTGTCTGTCCTACACAAACCTCTGCAAGGGGAGCAAAATGAGAGGATGGGGCATTGCAACAGGGGCTTTACACAGAGGATTCCAAAGCACAAGGACAGGATACAGTGGCAGGTGAAGGGACTCAAATGAGGCAAAACACACACACCTCCACACAGCCTGTCCCTGTGGGTCCATAGTAGCTGTCCTGGAGACTCTGCCCAAGTCAAAGCCTGAACAGAGGCAGCTACTCATTGCACACAGGAGCTGGTGTGAGCTGAAGGGAAAAACCTTCCCCACCATTCTGGGCTCCCACGGCAGGTGCTGGGAGCCCTGCCAGCACCCAGATATACATCTCATTCTCCAGAGGCAAAAGTAGAGCCAGAGCAAGGAGAAGCAATGAGCAAAGAAGGGAAATAGGAGCACTGAGGAGGAGGTTAGGTCTTAGACTGAAAAGATGGAAGAAAAATGCTGAGTTAGTATGCTAGTCTGGAAATGAGATGGAAGATAGGGGGAAGATTCTAAAAATATGTTTACAAGAGATTGGATGAGAAAGGGATGGAGGTCCAACTCTGGAAGCTGTTGCTGCTCCCTCCCTTAGAATACCTCAAGCAAATAAACACAGGGGCCTCGGCACCAGAAGTCCTTACAGCCAAGCAGAGGCCTGCAAATCTATGTATTCACTTTTCAAATGGATCAAGTTCCATAACAACAGACTCACTGATCCTGTTATGGGCAATCCACATGGTAAGGGGGAAAACATTAATCAGATAGGCCTTTGTAAAAATACATACCCCCATTTACACCCACAGCCTCCTCTCCAGAACTACTCAAAAATGCCTTAGAAATGAGAAAGACAAAACACACTAAGTGCAAGGCTAACAATTCTGGAAGTGCCTCTCCTGATCACTCTCCTTTTCTTTCCAATGCTCCAGAGTTGGCAGAATTTAGCCACCCATTTAAAACTTGGCAAGGACACTAGAACTATACAGATACAAGTGTAAGTTCCATAATAATTCATTTTGCTTTTTTTAATGAGGAGGTTTTTTAATACTAATAATTCTTAGACTAACCTGGGATGATAATAACAGCATTCCTTCTGTGTCATCTGTTTCTCTGTATTCCATCGCTGCAGTATCTTAGGCAGAGGTAACAGTGCAGAGTACAAAACAGGATTTGATAAAGGTTTAAAAGAAAGATAACATTATAAATATTCTTTCGAAAGACTGCCTTTGGGGGTGTCTGGGAAGAAGAGAGAAATGGGGAAGGAGAGGTGACAGGGGTGTGAAATGCATTTTTTCCATTATAGGAGGATACATTTTCCAGCAAGGCTGGCAGCACAAGTCACGCTAAGCCATAGCTGAAGTTGCCTGCCTAATTCCTCTGGGATCACACTGAAAGCATACCCCATAATCTTAAGGGATGTGCTAAAGCTTTGCTGGGACTCACTCAGCAGAAACTGTTTGGGATTATTACACAAAGCACTAATTCTGTCCTGATTTAAAGGGGCACCATCAACCTACTTTAGACACAGACTTGCCCCTGTCTCCCAACAGTCCAGTTGTAAATATCCTCTCAATAGCTGATAGCTTTGCCATTTGTATCCACTTTGGCTACACAGAAATTAAAAGGAAAAAAACTGAAAAAAATCAGGATCATGTTAGCATGATGGACTCATGCCCACCAATGAACATAGTAATATGATCAATAGGAAAAAAGGTAGTAATCTATTACAGTTATTTACTTCCATGTGTAGCTAATGCACTTAAACTACACATGTGGTCACTGTCTATGGCTGACTTCAGTGAATGGGTCACAGGCTGCTATTTATCATCAACAAGCAGGTACTCTTTGGTTCTAAAGGCAGGAACCAACATTTTCCATGCTGGCAAGCCTGAGTCCAATTTCTGTTCCAGACTGCAGCTTTTGTACCTGTAGAACTGCTAGTTTTCATGGTAAGGTGTCCCATGCTTTGTAAGTAACAAAGAAGGGATATGACCAGTGCCCTCCTTTTTATGAGCCTAGGACTTGAAATTGAGAGGAAGAACTAAAGCAGCCATGAAATCCCTATTAAACAACTAATGGTTTCTAAAGCATCTTGGAGATATTCATTTCACAAGGCTTATGCAGCAATCTTCTACCATTATTTTAATGAAATAAAGCCCTTGACTATTTCCAGAGGCAACCTTTTACTACACACACAGAAGACATTTTGACTTTATAAAAAAAAAAACCAAAAAACCAGTTCTGGAATAGGACTCACTGCAGAACAGGCAGGAAATTCAGAAAAGTTATACAAAATGTCACTGAAAGGTTCTGAACCTCTGGAAGAGCAAATAGAACAATTAAGACTCTCAGTTGGACACATCATTATGTTTAATATGAAAAACATTTATAGATATAAATCATACTTATAAAAAACATCCACACCATCTCTCAGATAGCATCTTACATATTTGCAGCTGAAGGAATGTGAAACATCCATTTTAGGTTTCACCTACTAAACTATGCTTTCTGTCTCTCACTTTGCTCAGGGAAATAAGCCTAGAATAATCAGCTTCACTTTGTCGGTCACATGAAATTCACATCTTGACTTGATTTAGATTAATATTGGTGGCAAACTTTTAAATCAAGAGAAACTTCAACACAATTCTTCAAACGCAGTGCTATTAAAACATGCACCCAAATGTGCTCATCTGGCAGGTGACATTCTCTGAGATGCCATAAAGATTTACATCATAAACATGACAAAATAAGCAAATTCTAACAGAACAAAACAAGATTGCCGAGATCTGGGAAGGGGCACATAGAGAACAGGAGCTTCCAGGCTCTGCTTGCGAGGAAGGAGAGGTCTAATGTGTTCAGACGAGAAACACATTCTACCTCAATTCATTTCAGAGTCTGGACTTTCAGGTGAGATCAGAGGCCTCTCTTGCTTTCTCAGGACTGAATCATTTTCTTCTGCATATCAAAGACATATCTTTTAAAGAGAAGAGAGATAGCAACAGGTTGGGCTGAATCATTTTTGCTGCTTTCATCCTCTTCGGTCATATCCCCCTTCACTCCCTTAGATTTCTTCTTGGATGCAACAGTAAGAAGCATCTTGGTATCTGGCTTGAGCCCATCTGTAAAAGAACAAGAACATGCATGACAAAAAGGCTCAACATCATGTTTCAGTATTACTAGAAAAAATGAGCAGGCAAGTTTACATCTGAAATGAACCAAAGAAAATAAGAAAGTAAATCAGACCCACTATGAAAGCCACATTTCTGCATCAGACTTCTGGAACATGGTAACTGACAAGGAAAATAAGAGAAGTCTTTAAATATAACAAAGTTCACAAAAGCAATATGCCAAATCCAGTGCAGTATCCTGCATCCTTCTGTGGCAGTCTACAGCTTTTAAAGCATTAGACACAGGCAAAAAAATTTAAACAAGCCAGACCAACTTGCCTGGTCAGACCCTTTTGCTCAGCAGGCTTTTCTTATTATTTACACACATCCCCAGAGTTTCTTGTCATCGCTAAGAATATTTATAAAAATATAAGTCATGAATAAAAAGCAACTGGCAAAAAACTAAAATTATAGAGAGTCCTAAGAGTCAGAAGGTTCTTGAATTTCTTCAGGTCTATCTCCCAGATCTACCAGAAGCATACTGCTTTTTTATAACTTGCACAATGAAAATTACACAGTTCTGTGTTTGTTTAGTGTTTTGTTTGTTTATTTGTTTTTGGTTCTTGGGTTTTTGTTTTGCTAAAACACAGTATTTGTTAAGGGTTTCAACTAGCACTGCTTAGGGGAACTAGAATTAACGTGCGTGGGATTCTGGGGATATAACTTAAGTCTTTCTGTAGACATTTGTGCCAAACAAAAATATTTGTCCTTTTCTTCCTAAATGGCTAGGCATTATTACACTTTTATATTTCCTTATAGCTCAACACATTGGTGACATGTTAGATAAGAAATGCCAGATAGCAAAGTCCAAAGAAAGGCTATAAAACAAGAGAGATGCAGCTCCTAAAAGACGACTGCTGAAGAATTGCTTGAATAAAGCAGAAGACAGCAAACTCCTCAGAAGCTTATTCAGCACCACCTGAATACACCACGATGTGGTTCTCAGGCATTTGGCCAAAATCAGTTCAGATATTTTTAACCTGTGGTGTCACATAACCTTATCTCAAACACTTAATCAGCCTCTCTCCCCTCATATTGAAATTCAGATGCGGATTCTCATATCATCGGCTGACAAAAAGATTGAGATGCTTATGATTTACTGGAGACAGGAGGTCTACAGGTACAGGTGATTTGCTCCAGCTCAGACACATCTAGAGGCACTCACAGCTGATTGCAGGGGGATGTGGCCCCAGAGCCCACCTTCTCATCTTGCTGTATCAGGAAGCAAATTGTTCCAGGCAGCATTCCCTCTGCACAGCCAAGGGAAGGGAGGAAATGAGGAAGTGTTGAAGCAAAACCAGGAAACTGCCCATTTGCCATGTCAGAATCAGAGGCTGTAGACCAGCCCTAAGGTCCTGCAGCACAGCCACAGGGAGACTTTTGGAGAGAGAGGTCTTGCTTTTTTGGGGGGGAGAGGAAGGAAGCAAGAGTCCAAAAGAGGAGCAAAGCAACACGTTTTGTACATAACTACATAAATCATACTCTACACTAAGGCTGCAGGAGTCCAGCATCAAGCAGAATCAACTTCACACAGTTCTGCAAGATCTTACATTTCACAGTCATGGCAGACGCCGCTTTCTCTTTCCAGAAGGCAGAACATTAGAAAAGCAATGATTATTTCACTGTGAAAATAATTGAGACTGTTCTTCCTTGATGGCTGAGAAGTCTGATAATGACTATCTTTGCACGTGTAAGGTTCAATTAATCTAACTAGGTAATATGGTGTGGCGAGACCACATATTTATTATATGCTTTTATTACATTGTATAGTCATGTTTGATGCAGCTGTTCCGATTTTTTAACTGGATGCTTTCATATAAATCCCATTAATATCATTAGCCTTACAATCATTCCATCTTCACTATGAAAAATAATTTATCATTACATGAAAAGCAACTTATTTCCTATTTGGAAAGCTCTGAGAACACTCTGGGTGCTGTCAGACAAAAAAAAAGGAACAGTCAGAAAAGGGGAAAACAAAATAAAACCAGCAAAAAGAGTGACTCACACAGTCCTGCTCCCTACCTTTGCAGGATTTATTTCATATTATATGGTTTCTACTGTTTCGACCAAGCTAATTGTAAGTGTCCCTGCACAGGGTTTCCTCCACTTTCCTGGGAAGACCATTTATTTTTTTGGACAAAGAAACATTTCATTTTGCTTTCTAGTTGGTTTCCCTTTCTGGGTCTTATCACTATTACTAATGTTGCTGTTACTGGCACAGCACTGTTTAAGAAAGATGTTTAACTAAATCCTTTCAGAAAGACACACTTTAATTAAAGCAAACAAGTTCTAAAACATTTGTATTTATGTTAGCAGGCTTCTTAAGACCCCCATTTCCAAAAAATGCTAATTGGCGGAAAGGAGAGAGGAAGGGAGGAGATGTAGCATTAAAATTGCAGCCAAAATTTTCCCGTATGGGTATCTGAAGTGAGGCACCCAGGCTGGCACAGCAACCCCTTGCACACAGCAGGGTCAGTCTCACTCCAGAGAAACACTCAGCTACAGCAGCAAGTGGGGAAACTCCCAGCCATGAGGGTGAAATACTCACTTGGGGTAAACTGGCCTTCAAAAACTGCCAGAGACACCAGTGAGCGTTTGGATGGCCCAACACATCTGAAACCTGGCACAGCATCTTCAGTGTTCAAATAAAGTGTCTCACGTTTGAAATATTTTGTTTTCAAGAAAAAAAGATGTGCTGCACATGGAACTCTACTGAGGAAAATGTATTTAAAATTGAGCAATCTCACCTCCTCCACCCTATTGCTTCTGCATCAGAGAAGTAAAGGTATACCTCACCTGCAGCTCCAAACACCTACTCGGACTAAATAAGGTATTACCAGTAAGAAGTTTATAGAAGAAATGGAAGAAGATGGTAGTTCGTACCAGTGAAGTGACGGGCTGACAGCCAAAGGCAGCTCAGGTATTATTAAACTCACAAGGTATCTAAATTACCTAATCAGATCCCATGGCCCTCATTCTGCAAACAGATTAGGTGGCTGGCATGGTACCCTGACAAATGGCATTTTCTGTTTTTCTGCTGTGGTGCCAGGAGGTCTCAGGGCTGAGGAGGCTCGGTGACAGGGAGCAGCACAAAGGAGCAGGCAGGGAGACAGGCACAATCGGGGTTTCATCTACCTCCGCGGATTTCTCGCGTTACACACAATGCATACTTTACATTTCACAAAACCAAGGAAATGAAGGGAAATATATCTGTCACCGAAGAAGACATCAGACCTTTAATAGCTGAAATGACGGATATTTTTAGATGGAGGTCTAGTTTAACTTACTTACATTAAGGGTCTAATCTCTCCTGAACAATAGCTATGTTAGCTTGAACACATAGTGAGAAATCTGTTCCATTAATTAAGTGCTGCCTGTACGACTCGGATTTGTAGCAAATGTTAATAGATTTTTTTTTCTTCCTCTGTTGGACAATTACTTTATTTTGCCAAGTTGCTAATGGATTAAATTGAAAAGGTGCATGTGTTAAAAAAGAGACTTTAGCTTCAAAGTTCTAAGAAATGCCTTGCAAACAACAATGGAAAATACCTATATATTAATATTGTTAACAGGCCATCCTCAGAGGCACATTAGATACCTGAAAGCTTAGCAAATTCATTCCCACCCATCAAAACCACATCTGTAACAAGAAGTGCCCAGATAGGTCTTATGCAAAATGTACTTGTAGCATTAACTAACCCAGGTTAGATAGGAAAATCTAGTTGTAAAACAGTTTAATCCACTTCATTCTTTCATTTTAACTACTCTTCATTATTAACAATAAACAAATAAAAGTACAGACTCCTTAATATCCTTTGTCGCAGCATGGCCTGAAGGATTTAGTCCAAACTGAGCCATTTTTAAATAATAAAAAATAAAAAGAAATGAATTTTCAAATTCAAAGGAAAAGCAATACCCCATCAGGAAAAATATTTCCAAGTCTAAGAACAAGTTCACATGCACAAAATAAAGCATAAATTCAGTATTTTACACAATTTTCACAAATAATAAGCTAGCAGCTTAATGCCTTGCAGTATCTCACATAGTTAAATGTATTGCAGCCTTGAGTTTGGCAATTACTTGTGCAAGAAATTTGTGCAGAAACAGGCACATTTCAGTAACTTCACACAGAAATTTCATACTGTAGTATTCTGAACCCCTTCTTGAACCCCCCCCCTTGTGTATAGATACAGAAAAACAATTTAGCTCCCCTCCCATCCCCCAATGAAGACACATATCAGCACAAGTTTTAGGTTTCTCTAATGCTCCACTTTCTCCTTACATTGATCGGGACTCGGCAGAGCCTGGCGAGGAACACCCTCCTGCCACGGCAGACCTGGGGACAGTCCCCACACCAGGAGTGCCAGCCAGGACACAAATCACAGCACACACATAGAGCACACATGGTCATAACCAGCAGGGTTTACTTTTGCTTTGTTTTTGCTACTACTTCAGCTGGAAGGAGGACAAAAGCTGATGTAGTATCTGCTCCTCTGATTCCTTTTGTTCACCCAGCAGGATGAAGGAGCAACACTGTTGCTTTTTGCACATACACTTTTTTATTTCAACCATTACCTGAAAACTTGGATTCTACTTTACCCTTTTACATAACTTCCCCACTTTACATCCTCCTTCACTTAATGCTGTCATTCCTTATCAACATCCTCCGTCAGCTTTGTTGACTTTCTTTTCTTATTAGCCTTCTGCTCCCCTTTTCCTTCAAAAGGTCTCCAAGGGTGGTCTCTGCTCTTTCTTGCTTTCTCAAGTCCAGCTCCTCTTTCCTTGACTCTCAATTGCACTTGCTATTCAGCCCTTTAGGAGTTTTCTTTCTCTCTCTCTCCTTTTCCAGCTTTTTGTTTTTAGATTTCCCATCTCCATATTTCCATTTCCTATTTTCACAGATCTCTTCAATATTTAGGAGTAGTCCTGTCTCCTTCAAAGCGAATGAA